TTCTGTTGTGTTCTATGTTATAAATGTCATGACATGGCATTCCAAAACATTAGTTTTCACTTGTGATCCTTTAGGAGTTCTTTCTGTTTCTAACTATAATAAGCTTTTATATCTTCCTAGAAGCAATGTACTTTTTTTTTTTTAACAAATATAGTAGCTCTCTGCCACTGAGTTATTAAATGATACTTTAATCTAAACCAAATGCCACAGCACCACTGTTTAAAGTAGCTAGGGAGACTGCATTAGGTGAGTGAGTAACTTTGTTAGCTAGCAGAGGCAGTGTCCTAGTTTTGCCTTTATATCTGTGGTTCTAGGCAAAACCCCTGAATGGGTGTTAATCTCAATGTGACATTTGCTATCAACATACTTAATAAGCTCCAGGGAACGGACAGCAGAGCTGCAAAGAATCAGCATCAACACCGACTTCTTCTCCTTGTGAGTTTTACGAAGCTTTACCCATTTGGGACAGACTGTAAATGAGAAGCACAACTTACAGAGAGAAAGCTACTACTGAAATACAAACCACAACTGCAAATGACATGTGCGCATGAAAACCAGAGCACACTTCCTGTACATTGACCACTACAAGATCTAGGTTTGTAGCAAAACTTGTAGTTTAAGGCATATCTGAGAAATTAATAAAACAAAATCTCTAATGTATCCTCCAAGAAAATATAATTCCCAAGTATATTATACAACCACATAGGTTAAATCAGTGATTCTCAACTTCATTAGATTCAAGGCACCCCTTGTTAGACTCAAAGCACCCCCCAGAAAATGCCAGCTCTTTCTTAGTTTTCACTTATTTTTGACTACAGAAAAATAATAGGGCAATTCTGTTGCAAAGAACTCAGACCACAACAGGGTCTGAATGTTTTGAACACTGTGAATTTCTATTTGAAATCTCTACATTTATCTTCTGAATCTTGTTTGCATGCCAACAGTTCTAACATTGTGTGGCACCCCGTGACTCCCTTGAAAGGATCTCAAGGCACCCAGGGTGCCGGAGCACCTTGTTTCAGAATCACTGGGTTAAATAAAGATGACATTTCCACTTTTGTGCATGCATATGTAAATTAATCAACTTCATTTTCTCATTCACTTGCTATGCAACTTGATTTATATCAGTGCTTTAATCCAGGGAGAAATTGTAAAAGACAGACAGTTCTTGTGCCACAAAACTTAAAAGAAGATCTCTTTATCAGGATGTAAGATGATAGAAATTCCCGTTGTTAATTCTGCTAGACAGGGACAGTGATAAATGTTACAATTATGAAAATTATGAAAACACACTTACTTGTTTAACAAAGCCTGGTCACCTATGAGAAATATTTCCCAACCATTTCTTTAAAAGCAAAATTTAAAAACTCCAATGCAGAATGATACATTTTCAGTATAAAATAATGAAGAAACAAACCTTTTAATGCAAAATCACAGATGATGCATGACTGTTCTACAGACTGATAATTTCAAGTGTACAGACATAGATTCTTTAGTGTTATCTTTCCTAAATTATAAGGTTTCTATCTTGTCTCAAATACTGAATTTAAATAGTTTCAAGGACAACTCTGTGCTTCTCCTAACCAAGTTCTTACTCACTTTCTTTCAAGTATGAAGAAAAACTGTGGGTGAGGTCATTGGCTGGCAGGAAACAGGAATCTGAAATCATACAAGACAAGATGTCTCTGTTGACAGATTTGCAGCAACATAATAGAGTGGATTTACATGTTTTTGGTGTATCAGTAGGTATGCCTGTTAAATTACACTTGAATTAAATCCACTGGAAATGCTTATTCTTTGAAAACCATGTAGACTGCTTTTTGGGAAATAGAATGTCATGATCACCATGAGGCCACAAATGCAAGATTTTAGTCTGGTTAACCAAATCATGGTAACACCTTTCAATACAACTTTCATTCCTTCTTCAATTATCTGAACTGTTCCCTGATCAGACCTCCTTTATGTACAGAACTGCACAACTGACTACATCCATAGTAGTGGGCTTGCACACAGCTTTGTAATAGCAATCAGAGGCCACAGCAAGAAACTTTACAATGAACTTGCTGGACCACTGAGTCACTGCTAGTGTGGCAGATTTATATTCATGTGTTAGCAAAATAATTGTACTGTGTAGAACAAAAGAACCCACTGATGCATTACACATGGGTCACCAGGTCACTTTTTAATCAGTGAGTTTGTCACAACTGAAACCCACAGAGAAATGCAGTCTGTAAATTACACACACACAGAGTCATATAACTATTTGCATTGCACTTTAATCATAGAATCATAGAAAAGTTGGGCTGGAAGGGACCTTTAGAGGTCATCTCATCCAAGATCCTGCCTGAGGCAGAACCATTCCTATCTAAACCATCCCATACAAATCTTTGTCTAACCTATTACTAAAACTACACAGTCCACCCTGCCACACAACCACAAAGCATAGCACCATAACCTTCCACAAGTAAAACAGTCGCACAACAGTAGTCAGCATCCTGCTGCTGCAAGGACTTTTGAAATATACTCAAGACATCCAAGGAAGAAGCTCTCCACTATGAGACCTTTTCTAGGATATAAAGATGCCATATTTTATCCATCCAATAGGCCAAGAGCTGCCATGGGCCAGCAGCCCCTCACTTCATTCACGCACAGTTTTAACATTTCCCTCCACAGACATCCTACAGCATGTTATGATGCTATAGGAAGCATGCGACCTCAGGCAGCATTAACTTTTGCATAGGGTACTGCTTGGTGAGATGTGGAAGCATATAGGCTAAATGTTTTCTGTTTTGACAATGGTAAACCAGTTTAGTTAAAAAAAAAACAAACTATACATCCATGGTAATATGTAAAATATTTTATAATTGGCAAATTGGAGGCAATTTCATGTCAATCTGAAAACCTGAATATGAGAGGACACAAAAAGGCCTGATTTGTGCCAAATAATAAGAATGGGCAATTCCCAAGGCTCTAACTGTTGTGTCCTTCCAGAAAGCCACAAAGGCTGCTGACAGATGTGAAAAAAACCTAAAAAGCAGCACTTTACCAGAACAGAAAGCATGTTAGTTTGACCTTGCTCCTCAGTGTCTGTATACATCAGGTGCTTTAGTGGGGCTTTTTGACGCTTTTATCTAAAAGCTGATTCAATCAGCTCTTAGACAAAAGTGCCAAAAAGCCCTGCTGAAGTGCGCAATCTATACAGATGTTGAACAAACAGGGTTAAACGAATGTGATGCCTCTTCTGGGCTTGTGCTGCACTCAGTACAGGGGCAAACTGAGCTGAAAGTAAAGCGCTGGGAGGGGGGTTTGGTTTTTTTCATGTCTGTAGGCGGCCAAGAGTCTAGCTTTGTGTTTTTCAAAGGGACTAGTACTGAAAGTACACCTTGTGCTGAATCACAAACTAGTGGTCAGGTAGTAGAGTTTTTTTTCTGTTTTGGCCTTGCACTGCTTTAAATAATTAGCATTAGGCAGTAATGGAGAAGAGTTTTAGTTGTGGACGCTTCTGTCAGTGTGCTCCTTGGGCAAGCAGGGAAGAGGACATTTCAATACCCTTCCCTACCCTCTAGAGTGCTCCGAGACAAGATTTATCCCAACATTTCATTCCTTGTACGCTAAACCCACAGCATTCTCATTTTCAAACAGACAGGAGATATTATTGCTGAGTGTCTCATTCCCTCGATTTCTCACCGGGAGGCAGATTTACTTTATAGCTGGAGCCTGGAAAAAGCCTTGCTAGTGAAGTTTGCTGAGAGAAATTGTTTGTCGTCATTGCACCCTCCAGCTGATGAACTTCCTGTTGCTCAGGACCTAGATTTATGATGGTTGAAATCTGAATCTAAACTCTTGTATTAAGATCACTGTCTCATGTATTTAAGGCTGGGAAGGGAGGGATCTCAGAGGAGGTAAGGGCGCTCAGTAGAGCTGTGCAAAACACCATCATTTCATTTCAATGTCCATTTTGAAGGGACAGTGTTTCATTTCATTTTGAAGCACTGTACTGTTTCGTTTCCTCAAATTTGTTTTGCTGTTCCTGGTTGCCAGGGCCAGGGAAATCATAGCAGAGGCCCACAGATGGGACAGGAGCAGAGCTGCCACATGCTGCCTGTGTTCATACCGCACTGTTCATCTGTGCACTGCAATTGGCTACCCAGAAAACACAGGGTGGGCAGAGGGAGGGGAGGGGGAGGATGTTTTAAAGATAGCTGCCAAGTGCTGGCAGCTGTGGCTGTAAGCTGAAGTCCCCCCCCCCCAGTGGCCACAGCGGCACATGGCATGGCTGGAGGGACCTGGCACTAAATGTAGTGCCAGATCCATGCACGTTTAGACACCTGCTAAAAATCATTTACTGTACATTTGCTTAATGTGCAATAATTCTAGTCGCAACTAACTGAATACAGAGATGCACCCACCATCCTCCTGAATAATCATGTCATCTCCCTTTGTTGCTATGTATGCTAACAAGGACCCAAGCAGGCCAAATGTGATACCTCAAACTCATAAGAACATAAGAAATGTCATAGTGGGTCAGACTAGTGCTCCATCTATCTCAGTATCCTGTCTTTGACAGTGGCAGGAGGGGAATGCTTTAGAAGGAGAACACTGAACCAGGTATATCTAGCGTGATCTATTCCCTGTTCATTACCTTCTGTGGCATCCATTGTTGTTGGTATAAATTAGAGACAGAATCATAGAAAATTAGGGTTGGAAGGGACCTCAGGAGGTCATCTAGTCCAACCCCCTGTTCAAACAGGACAATCCCCAACTAGCTCATCCCAGGCAAAGCTTTGTCTAGCCAGGTCTTAAGTCTCTAGGAATGGAGAGTCCACGACCTCTCTGGATAAGCTGTTCCACTGTTTTACTACCCTTCTAGTGAGAGAGTTTTTTCCAATATCCAGACTAAACTTCCCTGGCTGCAACTTGAGATCACTGCTTCTTGTTCTGTCATCTGCCACCACTGAGAACAGTCTACCTTCATCCTCTTTGGAATCACTCCTCAAGTAGCTGAAGGCTGTTAAATCCCCTCTCAGTCTTCTCTCTCCTTGGAAGCCATGTGCCCCACCGCCCTCACCATTTTCATTGCCCTCCTCTGTTCAGCACTGGTGAAGCTGCATCTGGAGTACTGCGTTCAGTTTGGCCCCCCACTACAGAAAGGATGTGGACAAATTGGAGAGAGTCCAACGTAGATGTCAGAGGATATATATCAGTCAGCAACACGGAAGCCCTTGACTTCAGGAAAGCCAACTTTGACAAGCTCAGGAGGCTTGTCAGTGAGGCCCTAAGGGACCATGACCCCAGGGAGAGGGGAGTTCAAGAAGAGTGGTTTCTCCTCAAGGGAGCGATCCTCAATGCACAAGCTAAGTCTATTCCATCTTGGAG